CASCCGGAGCTCCGTGGTGATTCCCATTTACCAGCAGCTCCCCTGCCATTCATTCAAACCAGAATCGATCAGAACAACAAGGAGAGAGCAAGCAGGAAAGAAATGAGGGCAAAAAAAGGAGGATTTTTCTCCTTTTCTCATCCACGGAGATGCTTGTCCTGCTTGGTCCCTCCGGCGAGCAGGGGGGCGCCAGGGTCGGGACCCCCGGGATAATCTATGCAGGACAGAGGCGCCAGCCGGGGGTCTCCATGCTCCGCTCCGAGCCGGCACAGGCAGCAATTCCATCCAGGCTGGGCCTTTTTGTGCTCCGGAGCGAGACAATAACCGCGGATCTTTTCACTGGGAGCCAAGCGACGCCGCGGCGAGGCGAGGGCTCGTTTTCTATGGGGCGTTTCAGCTCCGAGCCGTCCTCCCCTTCCCTATTCCACCCCCCTTCCCTTATATCCCGGTCAGCTCTCACACAAAGAGCGCCGCTTGGAAACGGCCCTCGCTTCGCTTAAAAACAAATAATAACTGGAATAACATTTTTTTTTCTGGCGAAATCCCGCACTTTGTTTTTCAATATGCTGCATAGAAATAGCTCAGCATCCTCCGCTCCCTCCCGCACGCTCCGCTCRTGGCCAACGCCAAATCCCTGGGGATTTTGGCTCCCTTCCCACCTTGCTCCCAAACGTCCCTTTTGCCAGGGCCACGTTCCCGCGGGAAGGGTGGGATCACTCCGTGCGGGAAAATGCGACTGTGCTGGCTCCAGGTCTGCTGGGATGGGTTGGATACAGCTGAGATTTGGGAAAGGGGGAGCTTCCCAGTGTGCTCATACCCGGCTTTGCTTCCCTGGGCTGGGAAATGCTCCCCCTGGGCACAGCGGAGGGAGATGTCCTGGGCATCCCTGGTATTATAGASCTCATGGATAAGGCAGGGTAAGAAATTGGGCCCAAAACATCAGGAATTAAGCGCAGAGAATCTCTTTGCAAGATCCCTGCAAATTGGGCCCGTGCTCCTTCTCTCCCTCCCTTCCCAGCTCTGCAGGATCCATCTCCGTCCCCTCCAGGCTGGCATCAGACCGGGACCATCTCCATCGCACCCGATTGCRGGAGGATCATCCCCATCTCAGGACCATCCCATTGCTCCCAGATTGGCACGGGGCCACCTCTGGCCTCCCAGACTATCCRGACCGTGTCCGGGTGCTTCCTGCCTGGCCCGGGGCAAAGCACGAGGGAGATGATGACAGGAGGGGAGGGCCGGCCGCCCCGTCACCCTGGAGCTGGCAGTGCCTCGTTGGGCTCACAGCGCTCCCAGGAGCCGACCCGGGCGCTTCCCGCTGCCACCGCCCCGCTGCTCCCCTTCACACCCACATCCGATCRGGAATGGACCATGAGCCGCGGCTTTTAGAGGATGCTCCGCATGGGGATGCTCCTGCTAGAGGGATGCTCCATGTGGGGGTGTTCCTGGGGATGGTGGTCTCCCAGCCATCATCATCATCCCGTGGGAGGGGGGCTGCTGCACCCTCAGCATCCCCTGCGCCAACTCTTCCCTAGGGAGAATCCCCGCCGGAGTCAGTCCGGCCCCGGTGCGCCGGAGCCGCCCCCCCGCCGAGCACGCGGCGCGCTTGGAGTGACACCGCGGCAAATCGGTCTGAGCGAATGGGGTCACCTGCCGCGGAGACAAGTCACCCGGCGCACGCACCGTGCCCCGCGGCACCGGGAGCTGCCAGCAAGCGAGAACGGCAGAAACCGCCCCAAAAATGTGCCCYGGGGGGGAGCGGGCTGGAGATGCCCCCGCGCCGGCAGCTGCGGCTCAATGGGGTTTTGTCCCACGGGAGGAGGAGGAGGGAARGGAGCAAGGGCAGCGGCAGCCGGGCAGCGCCGGGATTAGCGCCCGGAGAAAGGGCCGCTCTGTGGGCCCGGCAGCTGCTTTAATTCCRGGCGGGCCTGGGCAGGGGCACAGCTGGGGGCAGCTGCCCCGGCCAGCRCCAGCTCCGTGCCCGGATGGATGCGACTGTCCCGAGAGGAATAACTCCCTAATTAGGGCTCTCCTGGGCACAGGATCCGCCGCCCGCTGGGGAGCGGGTGGCAGCGGGAAGGGGGATGCCGGCGCTCGCTGCTTAACCTACATTTCCTTTTGTCCCTGCTCACACGGCCGYGGGCGGCCGCTCCGTCCCGGCGCCTCGCGGAGCGGCAAGAAGTGGCTTTTTGTGCCGGCAAAGCCATCAGGAGCGCGGGTTTATCCGCGGGTCTAATGCATAGGCGGGAGCCGGGACGCAGGGGCGCTCCCGCGGGCTGGAGGGCATTGGAAGCCGCAGCGCTCCGAGAGCGGCCCCGCGGCCGGGAGCTGGCAGAGCTCCCCGCCTGGCACCCAGCTGGAGCCGCGCGCCCGGTTATCACACTCGAGCGTTAATGGCTAAACTGCTGCTTGCGATTAGCGGCTCTCCCGCGCATCGCCCGGTCCCGCTGCCCACGGCACCGCGCGGCCGCCGCAGCCTCGCTTGCCGCAGCGGGAGCGCGGCCGCTCGCTGCCGCGGCGCTTCCAGCCCCGGGGGCTTTTAATAAGCGCAGATAAGATCCGCAGCCTTTCATTAGGCTCGCGCGCGATGCCTGGGCTCTGCGCACCGCCGGCGCCTGCGGTGCCGAGCGGGGAGACGGAGCCTCCATCGGCCTCCCTGGTGGGTGGCGGGTGCCGGGGGTCCCTGGCGCCGTGTTTGGTCCCTCGACTGTCGCCCCAGTGCCCGTTTCTTGCAGAGCAGCAGCAGCCGGAGAGGCAGCTGCTCCGTCAAAGCGGCCAAGTTCTCTTTCCTCTGGATCCCGTGGTTCTGGAGCAGGGAATGGGGCTGGGAAAGGGTTCCTTCCTCGCCACCAGTGATGGGATTGGCCAGGGATGGGAGATGGGATTGGCCAGGGATGGGAGATGGGATCAGGCAGGGATGGGAGATGGGATCAGGCAGGGATGGGGAGATGGGATCAGACAGGGATGGGAGATGGGATCAGGCAGGGATGGGACATGGGATCAGACAGGGATGGGGAGATGGGATCAGACTGGGATGGGAGATGGGATCAGACAGGGATGTGAGATGGGATCAGGTAGGGACGGGGGTTGGATGCAGTGGCACAGAAGCCTCTTCGCCAGGGGGACGATGTGAGGCCCCGCCGGGGCTTTACTGGCCTCCACTTGCCGTCCCGCTCGCGACGTGTCCCCGTCTCCGCACCGCGGTGTTCCCAGTGAGCGGCTCATTCCCGGTCGCTGCGAGTGGCCGGAGGGAGCACGCGAGCTGGGTGGGGATCAATGCCGGGCAGGTTGACGCAGCCACTGCTCCGGAGCGCGGCAGCTGCCCCCGCTGCTCTGCATGGCGGGAAGCGGAGCCTGGAGCAGCCCTGGAGCCCTGTCCCGGATGGGACACCTGGGTTTCCGCCTTATTGTGTGTCCCACAGTGGGGCTGAACCACTTCCCCRTGCCTCCAGAGGGAGCCCGGGATGGAGGGAGGGAGCCATTCCCGCTTTTCCATCAGCTACGGAGCGGCATCCGGAGCCACCAGGGCATCCGCTGCCGGATTCGGCTGCAGTGGGTGCTGAGCCCCCCAGTGGGGCTGCCCCAGGCTCAGGGGTGCTAGGAGGGCCCTGTCCCACTGCAGGGCGATGTCGGGGTGCAGAGGGGGCACCCGCTCCGCTTCCCATCACCTGCGCCCGAGCGGGCTCGGTTCCAGGCTCTGCTTAATCTGGACGTTAATCCGCACTAAATCCTGGCTCTAATCCGTTTAATGCCACCTCTTGCTACGAGGCTCCCGCGCGGCTGCTCTGGCCCGCAGAGCCGAGAGGAGGAGGAGGATGAAGGCTGGAGGAGGGGGGCTGGTGTCCCGGTGCTCAGGGACAAGGCTGGGGACACATTGGGGCCTCCCCCTGCCAGGCCCGCTAGTCCCAGCCTAAAAATCCCTCTCCAGGGCTGACATCTACTGGCAAGAAGCCCCGTGGGCCACCAGCCCCGGCGCTTCCCGGTGAGCACCCCAAGTCACCAGCCCCACGGTGGCTCCTGGGAGGGATCCGGATCCGGATCCAGGTGTCCCCCGGGGCTGCGGGGACTCCCCCTGCGGTCGCCCCAGCACACGAGGCTGGCGCAGGTGACACGGACGGGAGACGCGGGGACTGTCACCTAGCAACCCGCGGCGGCYGCCTTCCCGCTCTCCAGGTGGGAAAAGGGGAGAAAAGGAGGAAAAAGGGAATAAAAGCAGCACAAAGGCAGGAGGGAGGCATGGGCTGGGGCAGGGAGCAGTGCGAGGGGCTGACCCTGGCCCCTTCCCTGCACAGAGGCCAAAGCTTTTCCTGGCTTCTTTCCCCCTGGTTCTGCTAAAAGGGACAGGGGGAGCGGGCGCATCCGGAACCTGGACGGCGCCCGCTGGGCGGGACGGGGGACAGGAGGTGTCGGGGGGAGCGGGGCCGGCCCCCTGGCACCTCGGGGACAGCCCCGGCCTCGCGCGGCCCGGAGGGGGCGGAAGAGCCGCAGCGCGGGACGGGACGGCGACACGCGGGCTCCCGGACGCCTGGGCCCCTCCTCCGACTCTGGGGACGACGCGGGGGGCGGATGTAGCCGCCAGGATGGGAAAAGGAGGGAGACACAAATCCTGGAAGGGGCCAGAGCGGGGAAGCGCTCGGGAGCCCCCCGCCCCCGACGGCGGGGACGCGATTGTCCCGCCTTCCCCCCACGAGGGACTCCCCCGCCGGCCGCGCTCATTGGCTGCTTCGTAGCAAGCCCAGGGCCGCCATTGGCTGCACCGCCCACCCGGCCCCGCCCCCCGCCCCGACGTATCCAAGTTCTGCCCCGCCGGGGACTTCGGGGCGGCCGTGGGGCGGGGGAGGGGGGGGCGCGGGGACCAGGACCGGCACCGGGACCGGCACCTGGAGCGCGACCGGCACCGGCACCGGCACCGGCATCGGCACCGGCACCGGCACCGGCACCGCCGCAGCCTCCCCGACCCGATCCCGGCGAGGGACACGAAGCGGGGGTGGGGGAAGCGCCCCCGCCCCGTGCCGGTCCCGGCGCAGCTCGGCGGGGTTCGGGCGCAGGTAAGCGGGGAGGGGGGTGTGGGGCGACTCCGCGAGCCCCTTCCCGGCCGCCCCGACGGGCCCCGCCGCTGCCCCGGGCGCCGCTGCCCCGGGCGCCGCTGCCCCGATCGTCGCTGCCCCGATCGTCGCTGTCCCGATCGTCGCGGTCCCGATCGCCGCTGCCCCGATCGCCGCTGCCCCGATCGCCGCTGCCCCGATCGTCGCGGTCCCGATCGTCGCTGTCCCGATCGTCGCTGTCCCGGTCGCCGCTGTCCCACCGCGGAGCTCGGAGCTCCGGGACCCCCCCGCCACGGCCCCTCCGAGGGCCGTTTGGAGCCCCCCGCCGCGCTCCGGCTCCTGCTTCTAACGGGAGGAACCCCCCCATCTTTCCGGGGCCCTTCGGTGCCGGTACCCCCATGGGTTCAAAACCCATCGCCTCCCGCCGGGACGTCTCCCGGCCCGGTGCACGTTGTGGTTCTCCGGCCCGTTGTGCCAGCGCAGCTGGACCGGGCAGCGGGAGGCACCGACCTGCCCCGCTCCTCGTCCCGGGCCCGAGCGCCTGGCTCCTCGTGTGCTGGTGCCGGGTGTTTTCCTTGGGAGAGGGGCAAGAGGGGCTGTTCGGGCCCTGGGTGGGAGATGTGCAAGAACTTGAGGTCCTAGGGAAGGGGACAGGGATGAGCGGGGATTTGGGAAGCACTAAGAGGCTGGAGCTCTTTGGTGGACTGAGCTCCGGGACGGTGCTTGAGAGCTCCCAGCTCCACTTTGCAGCTGGGCCTCCGTAAAACACAGGAGAGGGGAGACCTCCTTTGGGAAGTGTTGGGCAACCATCTAGGAAAGAGCGATGGAGCCACCATGTCTCCCACCTGGGACAAGTGTTGGGAGCCGCTCCGGAGGGCCGCAAAGCGGGAAGTGGCACCGCGCGGGTGACAACAGGATGTGCTCGAGCACCACCCTGGCTGCCGAGACCGCGGCGAGGAGGGGAAGGGAAGTCACCGGGACCGGGCGGTGGGACATGCCCGGCTCCAGCACCTCTGGCAAGGCGGCACCGCCGGGACAYGGCCCGCGGGGCGGCTCCGCAGGGAGCCGGTCTCCAGGAGACCGTCCGCGGAGGACGCGGCTCCCCGGCCGCGGGCCGTGCCCGCCACTGCCAGCCCGCGGCCTGGCTGCGGAGCACGCGGAGGCGCCTTGGGGGAAGGAGCGGAGCCGTCGCGTTGTTTATGGGTTAAACACAACGAGGCTGGAGGCCGGGATGGGGGGATACTGCTGCCGGGATTGGAGTCTTGGCGTGTGCRATTCCGCCCCGCGCTCCGTGCGGCTCTGGCACCGAGGGCGCAGGAATCGCGGGGTGTGCGCGGGCACCGGGACACGGCGCGGAGCGAGGCCCGGCCGCCGCTCCCCCCACTTCCCCATCGCGCGCTCCACTCCGGAGCGAAGGAGAAAGGAAGTTGTGGCAGGGGAGAGCTCCTGATCCCGGCCCGATAAGGAAAGGAGGAAGCAGAGGCGAGACACATGCTCCAAAATAGCTCTGTCCTCCTTCGTGTCGCGTGCCAAGCCCGGCGGCTGCAGCTGGCAGGTCTGGACTCCCTGGGGTTCTCCCAGGAGATTCCCGCCGGAGCTCCCTTTCCCAAGCTGGGGCAGGGGATGCCTGGGAGCCTGGATCCCTGCAGGAGAACATCCAGGCCTCGCACTGGGGCCTTATCTTTCCCATCAGCCAATGATCCTGGGAAAAAAGAGCCATTTTCCTGGAGCAGCCTGGGGGCTTGGGGCTCCTCCTCTGCACAGTGGTATCTGGGAGCCGGGCGCCCCGTTCCCACCACGATGCTGGGAATGCAGCCCTGCGGCATGAGCTGCACTGCCGGGCCCCTCCGCCCACGCTCCGGGCTGGGAGCCCCTCTCCGTGCACGGGCACGTCGGAGCTGCCGGGCATGGCCGCCTTCCCACGAGCTCCGCGCGGGAATTTGGGTCCCGGTCGGATGTTGGCCGGTCCCGGCAGGTCCCTCTGTGATGCCGGCCCCGTTCCCAAGGAGAAACCCAAGCAGCTATTGGGGACGACTCCCTGTTTCCACATTGTGCCCCTTGGCATCTCRCTGCTCCTTGGCAGCTGTGGGCTCCCATCGGACGTGCAACGAGTTGGCAAGTCCTCATACCAGGCAGCACTTTGCTGAGGGCTGTGGGGCTCCATTTATCCCTTGTCCTCACCTGAAAATGAGGGAAATGGGGCCTGGTGGGGAGAGAAGCAGGAAAGCAGGAGGAGGGGACGGGCAGGTCACGGCTGCCAGCCCGGCTCCGTCTCCGGTTTCATCCTCGTGCCGCTCCAGCGCTGCAGCCCTGCTCCGATAACCCGGCTCGGCAGCGGCGCTTAATTAATTAATGCTCAACGCGTCCTCAGGGCGATGGAAACCAATCCCAGCGGGCTGAACCCGATAGTGCCTTTTGTCAGCCGCGAGCTCTGCGGCGGAGCAACCGTGGGACGGAGCCGGGAGAGCCCCGGGAGGGCGGCGCGGGTGCCGGGTGCCCGGTAACGCGGCCCRCATGAGACGGCGTCCGCGCCTCCGTGCCCGCGGATCCGTTCCCGCGCCGGGCGCTTGCTGCGCGCTGACCCATAAATTATTGAAGTGCTTTTTGTGATGCTGCATGAAATATTCATCCCGCTGCCGAGGGAGTTGGGGTGGGGGGGCAGAACAGGGGGGTGCCGAGCGGCGCACAAAGAAAGGCTGCCAGTTATCCAGTAATTGGGAGCTGGAAAGCGGGAGCTATGGGAGCCGCGGGGCGCGAGCGGCGGCTGCGGAAGGGGAGGCAGAAATTCCCATCGCGGCTTCGCTGGGGGGGACGCGCTGGGTGCCGCGGGCTGCACGCGAGCTCCGGGCGCGCTCCGGCGCCTCGGCTCTGCCCCGGCACGTTCCAGCGCTGCCGGCCCCCGGGGGCTGGCAAGATGACAGCGCTTCCTGGTGCCCCTGCAGACAGCAGCTTTAATTGGYGCTTTCTAACGAGCGCGATGGCTCCTGCGCTGCTCTCACCCTGCAAATCACAGGGGATTGAGGCCGCCGGGGCCGCCAGGCTCCACCAGCTCCAGTACCGTGTCCTGACCAGGCTGCAGGGAGCGAATCCGGAGCCGCATCTGTCCCTGTGCCCCCTTCGCCTCCATCCCGCATCCCGCAGCAGGAAGCCGGGATGCAGGCGCGATGCTGCTCGCCGGCCGGCACGTGCTGCAAGGGGAACTCRGCCCCGCGCCGGCCTCGCGGCGCGGAACCGCCTGCTCATGTGTCCCCTGTGTCACCGAGCACCCRGAGGTGGCCCCAGGGCCTCCCCTTGCAGCGCGTTCCGGTGCGGGAGAGCATCGCGCCGCGCGGCGTCGCGGCAGAGCCCCCGTCAGCGCTCCACGATGGAGAGCCCAGGTCCGACACCCTTCTTGTTCTTGGCGGGATTTAGATTCTGGGAAAAGAGGTGGGGAAAAAAACAAGGCAGTGGCRGTGCCTGCACGGGAAGCCTCAGTTCCTGGCCCGGCTGCGCCGCGCTCTTCCGGAGCAGCACCGGCTCGTTGCACCACGGCGCCCGGCTGCGCCTGCCCTGGAAGAGGCAGCTTTTTTCAGGCTATTTGCATTAAAAAGGAGAAGGAAAGGGAAAAAAAAAAAAAAGAAAAAAAAAGAAACAAGGGCTGAGCAGGGCTGGAAAACTGAGCAACAGGAAGGAAATCTGGCGGTTTCTTTCGGCTGCTCTTTGGGGCAAAGCTGCCTCTTCCGGGCGCTGATAACAGCAGCAAGCAGCGGCCCCCGGGCCAACAAAGGGACCTCTCCCATCGGGAAAGCGCCGCGTTCCCGTGGAAAGAGCTCGCGCTGGGTGAAACCGGCGGCGTGTTCCCGGTGGGAAGGGCAGCAGGGAGGGCGCCGGGTGCCAGCGCCCGGGGAGGCAGGCGAGCGAATGAATGAAAACCAGGAGGGAACCAGCTGGAAAAGAGCCTGCGGGGCGGGAGAGGAGGTTCCCGAGCTGCAGGATGCAGCCCCAGTGGTTGGAATCGGCCTCGGGGAAATCCTCCCTCCGGCCCCGGCTTCCCGCTGCGGAGAGGAGTGTCGGCACAGGCTGCACTGGGACAAGACGCCCCAAAACGCCCCGGGCAGGAGGGCAGGTCGAGGCCGTGGTGCTCACGGGCAGCCGTGGAGAAGCCGCCGCTTCCCAGTTTCTGCAGGCTCCAGGCTGGGGTTTGCGCTGGGTTTCTGGCTCCGGGTGCCCTGCAGCGAGCTGGGACGCGGGAATTCCTGCTGCGCCGGTGCCCCTCACTGCAGCGGAGCCGGAGGCAAGGCCGGAGCATCTCCATGGGCGGGAGGGCAGTGGCAAATCCGCCCCGCGCCCTCCTTCCCGCGCCCTCCTTCCCGTGGGCCCAGGCTGCCTGCGGCTCCGCTTCGTCCTCCCTTCTGGCAGCGCGGGAGCCTCGGCGCGGAGCTGGCGCCGGCAAAATCCATGGTTGCGCACGGAGGGAAGCGCTCGCAGAGCTCCGTGTTTTTCCTAAGGGCTGTAAATAAGGCCGTGTGCGGCGGCTCCTTGAGTTAGTGCCTGCGGCTCTGCCCGCGCCGTGATTTGTAGCCTGGTGCTTTCCAGGGCCGGGCGCATCGCCGGGGCCAGCGGCGCTCTTAGTCATTCCCAGCGGTTTTTCAAGCCGTAATCCGCCCGAGCCGACTGATTTGCGCCCGCCCGGGGCCTGAACTTGCTCTCTTAGAAGCGACCAGGGCTCGGCGAGCTCCAACCTGCCCCATTTTTCACTCCGCTGGGATGGGCAGAGCCAGGGACAGGGAATCCGTTGGGCACGACGGGGAGCAGCGGCGGCTGCTGGGGGAGCAGCGGCACCCGGGACCTTCGCGGCTCGCGGTCCCCACCTGCACCGTCCCCTCCTGCCTGCAGGAAATGAGTCAGGTCCTAAGGAAGGCGARTGAGGAGGATGGGGCAAGAGCCCTTCCTGCGTAGGCAGGAGCCCACCTCAGTGCCTTGCCTGGGTAGGGAGCCTCCTCCGGGCTCTAAGGACACAGCTGCGCCCAACTGCTTCTTCCTGGGACTGGGGGAAAAAGCCAGGAACATGCAGTCAGTCATCCCATGAGCAGCCTCCTTGCCTCCTTGCTCCTTTGGGGCTTGCTGGTGGACCACGGTGCATGAGAGTTGGACATGATCGTCTCAAAGGTCTTTTCCAACCATGATTCTCTGATTCTCTGATTCTTCTCCACACAAAGGACAGCATGGGGAGGGGAGGAGCAGGGACTGGTGCAGGGCCTGGCTCAACCACGTGTGTCTCTTCCCTCTTGCAGCGATGGACACCTTCAGCACTAAGAGCTTGGCCCTGCAGGCCCAGAAGAAGCTCTTGAGCAAAATGGCCTCCAAGACCATAGTCAACGTCTTCATTGACGACACAAGCAGCGAAATCTTGGATGAGCTCTACCGGGCCACCAAGGAGTACACCCGCAACCGCAAAGAGGCCCAGAAGATCATCAAAAATCTCGTCAAGATCGTCATGAAGCTGGGCGTGCTCTACCGCAACGGGCAGTTCAGCCCCGAGGAGCTGCTGCTGATGGAGCGCTTCCGCAAGAAGGTGCACACCTTGGCCATGACGGCCGTGAGCTTCCACCAAATAGACTTCACCTTCGACCGCCGGGTCATGTCGAGCGTGCTCACCGAGTGCCGGGACCTGCTGCACCAGGCGGTCAACACCCACCTGACAGCCAAATCCCACTCCCGCATCAACCACGTCTTCAACCACTTTGCGGACTACGAGTTCCTGTCGGCGCTGTACGGGCCGGCCGAGCCCTACYGCAGCCACCTGAAGAGGATCTGCGAGGGCGTGAACAAGATGCTGGAGGAGGACAACATCTGAAGGGGTTGGCATGGGCAGCGCCTGCTGCATCCTGCTGCCCGTGAGAGCGAGGACGGGACAGGACGTACGGCTCTTCCGGYGCTCGCCTGGCTTTGCGTCCTCTTCTCTGCAGTGCTAACTCTCTCGTTTCCTCCTCCTTTATGCAAGGACTGAACTTCTTTACTCTGGTTAACCCTTGCCCGGGGTTCAGCCTCCCCTGCGCTGGGCTGGGTCCTTCGCGGGCGACCCTGGGCTCCTGCTGTACATTTCTTTTTCGTGTCCCACCAAGTGCTCTTAGCTCAGAGTCCAAGGAAGCGGCGGGCTTGGACTCACTGCGTTGAACTCGATGGTAACGCTCCTATGGAAAAATAAATAAACCAAAGACTCCCGGTGCCCGAGAGCTGCGAGGGGAAGCTGAGCGGGGTGGGATCTCRTTGGAGCGGCTGTGACTTCCTTGCTCCAAGGGCTGCAGGGTGACGGAGCCATGGGAGCTTCCAGCAGCCCTAGGCAGGTGACGCTGCCCGAGAGGAGAAGGTTCCTCTGCGCTTTGTGGTTTGGAAGGTGCTTTGGCCTCCTCAAAGGCAGGTCCTTGTGCCCACAGGGTCCCCCCTTGCTCGAGTGGCTCCCCTGGCTGGATGGGTCACTCGGAGGGAGATATGGAGTGACCTGCTCCTCCTTTATGTCCCCATGCACTTGGTTGTCCAAAACCCCCCTGCACTGCCCCGCCAGGCTCCTGTGGACCTTCCTTGGGATCTGCCCAAAGCTGTCCCTAGGATTTCAGCCTGTTTTCCCTGTCCCACACTGAACTAGGACTGTTGGGTTTTGACGAAGTGCAGCCCTGATGGGTTATTGAAATAAACTCCCCTCTGTGGCCTGGCTGTGCAATGTGGTTGTTACGGGGYGGTTGATACGTGCGGGGTCAGGCTGCCGCCGTCTTTCAGATGATGATGGTCTTTGTGGCTGGGGGGGCTTCGTTCTCCCAGCCCAGCCCCGGCAGAGCCGGTGCTCRGAGCATCCATGACTAATTAGACTCCCTGAACTCGGTTCCCTCAGGAACTGTGGGATTAGACTCTTCCTTCTCTTCCTTGGATGGGTGCGAACACGAGGCACCATCCTGTACCTGCCCAGCAAAGGGACCTTGAGCAGCTCTCACACCGTTYGCTATAGCGGCTTTTAGTTGCCACCAGGGGCAAGAGAGGCACCAAGCAAGGTCCTGATTTGCCCCAAATCCCCCTACAAGCCAAGGACAAACCTACAAACCCCAAGGACAAAGCAGAGCCCACTCTTGCTGCTGCCAGCACTGAGATGCAGGGAGGAGACGGTGCAAAACCCCCGGAGCAAACCCACAGCAAAGCGCCCGCTGCAGCTCCTGYGCCCGATCAGGTGTGTTCCCGGCGGCCCCTCACTGCGCAGAGCGGGCTAGGAAAGCACCACTTGCGTGACAGGTGGGCAAAGGGCAGTTTGACAGCATTGAACAGAGGCGCACGGCAGGAGCGCCGTCCTCTCAGAGCACGGATGCACCGACCGCTGCTCCTTTGCACTGCTCTGATCAATTTGTACTTTGAAAATTGCCCTTTTCAGTGTACGAGGCCCCGCACAATCTCAGCTGGCCTTATCTCCGCGCCCTCCTTGTGCCTCCTGGTCCATGGGCTGCCTCCCGGCACGGGAGATTGCAGCGCGAGCCTCCCCGCCTCCGAGCTCCGCGGCTCACATTCCCCGCTCCCTTGCTGCCRTCGGCTCCAAGCAGTGATGTGTTTCAGATTTTAAGATTAAAGAAAGGAATAAAGCGCCTATCCTTGTCATTTCACAGGCGTCGCTGCAAATATCAGTTATCTGAACTGCACAAAGCAGCTAGGGACGGGTAAAGCGCATGGAGAGGTGCCCGTTGGGGACCACSGCCGAGATGCGCCGCGACGCCGGTCCCCGGAGAGGGCAGGTGACGCTGGCCCCTGGTGAGCGACACTTGGGAGCCGCCGTCCCCGTCCCTGCGGGGCTCCCTGCAGCTCTCGGGTGGCTGTGGATGAGAAGCCAGGCGTTGGCAGCAGCGCGTGGCGGCTCGGCGGTGTTGGCAGATGCCGCGGGCGCGCGGAGCGGGGGCTGACGGTGCTGCCGYGGCTGCGCGCGCAGCCGGTGCGCCGCGGTGCTGTTCTCGAGGTGCGTGGCAGCACCAGCTGCAGGATGCTGCTTAATTGCACCAAGCAGCCTGGCTGGAACAGATCTCCTCACTCGTTCCTGTTTCCTTCTTGCCCTGCATCTTACACCCCAGGGTGGGCCACAGGACCACACAACTCATCAAATGCCCAGCACCAATTTCCCTTCACATGTAGGTGTCCAAAATCCAAAACTTCCCCCCTCATTTCACAGCAAACATCTGCCTCATTCCCAAACTCTTGCCTTCTTGCCACCTTATGGCCTGGATTTCAAACCCCAACCCTTGGCCTGGGTACATATCCGGGAACAGGGAGAGAAGCATCCATAAACAGCCTGGAAAACAGCTTATAAAACCCTCAGTGCAAATCACCCCTCAGCCTGACACAGACCAGGGAGCTCCTCAAAACACAGGTGAAGCAGCTACGAAAAAGCAGGGTCCTCACCAAGCCTTCCCTCTGGCTGCTGCTGCTGGAGCCTTGTCCTCGCGTGGTGGCTTCAGGCTGGCAAATGGCCCCAAGGCATCTGCTGGGACCCCCATGTCCCTCAGCAGCCTCACACCTCATCTCCCTGCTCAAACAAACACCGCAGGTTGTGCTACTCACTGGGCATCCACATGGAGAGGGCAGGAATCACATCTGGAGTGAAGCCAGACGACAGCGTTATGCTTTATTTTTTTYATTTGTGCTGTATTTACACAGGAAAGGAATTCCATATTCCCCCAGTGTTATTCATCTAGATAATAATAATAAAAAAAAAATCACTTCTGTAGGTAGAAAATAGTCCTGCGGTTGTACTGGGACGTGAAAGTGTGGCCTGGATGGTTTCCTGGGTTGTGTCAGAATAAGAAGGCTAGTGCAGCTTGCGAGCTCTGCCTTCCGGGTGCTGGTTCTCAGGGTGTTATCTCACCCTGCTCTCTGCACCAAGGCAGCCCCAGAACATCCTCCCTAACAAAATCAGTGACGGTCTTAGAAGCCTCACTCATCAAGGAGTCAGAAAGCCAATCCTATCCCTTCGTCCTCCCTCCCATCCAATTTATTTTTCCTGCCATGCTTGGAGAGAGAGAAATCCTGTCCCTCCTCCAGAGACTACAGAGTTAACGACATTCCTTTAGCAAGCCTTGTTTAAATCCAGCTGCTTATCTTTCTGCATTGCTCTTTCTAGCAAGGGAGATAAGGAGCCCCTGTTAGAGGGGAGCTTTGCCATATTCAGCAGATCAGTGAAGCAGAAAGCGGGCGACAGAATGGCTGGCTGCAGATCAAGAGTCTCTAAGGAGGTTTCCAGCTGCACAGCACATTGTTACTCTGACACAAGACAGAATGCATCTGTTTTAACACCTCCAAGTCCCACTTGTGTTGGACCCCAGTACATTTCAATATGGAAAACAGGAAAGATTTGTCCAACCACAAACCCCGCCAGTAACAAGCAGTCTCCTCCACCTGTCATCTCTTCTGGCTGAARCGCCCGGCCCAGCGCTGGCCTTGGGGTCACAGCTCGTCACGGGGTGTTTTTGCTACAATCATGAGTTTGGACAGTTCGGAACGGAACTTGCCTTCCTTGTGAGACACTAGAAAGAGAGAAAACAAGCAAGGGATAAACAGATGGTAAGGCATGAACAAGCTGCACTGCTGGTTCCTTTCCAGAATAAAAAAGCCAGTATGCAGGGCCTTGTGCTTCCTGCTATGTAAAGTACTAGTATGTTGTGATAAACCCATTCTTTTCCCATGCGAATTCACACTGGAACAGGACCTGCAGGATCCTGCTGTCCACCAKGAATCAAAAGCACTAGACCCCCCCAGTCAATAACACTGAGCTTCCTCCTATGTCCTGTCACCTCTCTGCACCAGTTTGAAGCTCTCAGCTCCTGGTAGATCACCAGGCTCRTTTCCCACATCAGCCCCGTTTTTCACACACTTCTTTTGGTCACAGACCTGTTGTTTCAGTGATTTCAAATTCTTCCTGTTTTAAGGGAACGTCGCTTTGTCCACCCACTGCAGCTGCAGACTGAAACAGGAAGGAAGAAGGTTTTAAGCAGGTGAGGCAATTCAGGAAACAAACAAAACAAAACAGGTCTCAAGAAAAGAAAGGCTTTGCATTTTAATAAGGTAGAGTGAAGAGATTAAATCATGAAAGGAATCTTTAAGGAGAATCTCTAGCTATCTCTCCATTTCCTATTAAATCAGGTATTTGTATCATTCAGACAACTCAAAGCCTCATCGCTGAAGACAGTGGGAAATGGAAGAATGAGGGCTTTGAACAGAAAAGGCAAAAGGATGAGCAGAGGTTTTATTTATGTTGCCACATTCAGTTTGCTGAGACAGATGGAGACTCCCCACGTGCTGCACGCCTGGCACGGTGGGGTCTGTTGGAGTCACCGGCACCCGCAGAGCCAGTGGCCAAACAATGGCTTTGAGGGAGCAAAAGGAAAGGGTGCAGGAGGGCCGGGCTGCATCCACCCTCCTGGCCGCCACCACACTCCAGTTAAGGCCACGGTGGAGTATGTTTTATTGGGCTAATCCGATTCAGGTTTTCCAGTCATCCTCCCACCCGCCCACTTCCAAACCATCAGCTGAGACTTACATAAGCCATGGCATACTCTATCTTGGCTCCTTTCACTTCAGCTTTAAACTCGGTGAAGAAGAGGTAAGACTTTCCCTGGGGCCTGAAACAAGAAAGCAAAATCTTGGGCACTGAAAGCAGGAATAAGTTACCCGGGAGCGGGGAACGTGGGCAACGCTCCGGCACGGGAGGGTAAAGCMAATTCCTGACTCTCCGGGTGGAGGTCTGGATGGGGGGTTCTCGTGATCCACCACTTCTTCCGGGGCCTCCTGGCTCTCTCGCAGCTCCATCTAGCGAGGAAGCTGGCAGTGGGGTTGTCCCCATAGCACCCACCAACCACCACCTGGAGAAAGAGCCACCCAGAGCCACGGCAGCTCCAGGGAGAGCAAAGCCCTTGGTGCTCTTGAAGTCCAGCTAGGACACACAGGTCCAGCTGCCACTGCTGCTCACAAGGTGCAGGGGCTTGAGGTCCGTGGCTTGGATCCCATATAGCCTGGCCTTGCATTTGTCTTGGGGAGCTAAACTAAACTCACCTCCAGATAGAGCAGGAGAAGAGCAGGTTGTCTTCACTGAYGCCAACGTTCATCTGCCATTGCTGTGGAGGGAAAAAGGCCCAAAGAGTTATTCTGGGTAAGAGCATCCCACTCAAGGGTGCCCCCCAACGTGAATCACCTTCCTCCCCAAATAGCTGCAGACGTCACAAGTTTCCACCACTGCAATTACTCCTGGAGAAGCAGCTCATTAGAGGCAATAGGCCTAAATCGGAGGCAGAAACCTCACGGAGTGTTATTATGTCGTGGAAAGGGTGTTATTGTAAAGGACAGGGGTGGAGAAGGCGTGAGAACACTTGCAAGTCTCCTGGCAAATGGTGACTTATSAAAACAACACAACAAAAATTGCAACACAGCCACTGATGGCCCTTTTATCTCGTGTTGCACAAAGCCCAGGGCTGCCTGCCCCCTTTCCACAATTTCATCAGTACAGTTACAGAGACGAGTTAGAAGTTCATTGCGTTTTATAATAAGAGAAAAGGACTCAATGCCATCACCTTCGAGCCTCATAAACAAAACAGGAGTGACTCTAACAAGGCCCTTCCTAGCAACTGGGATACGAAAATATTGCTCTTTGTTCTCCAAAGGTTTCCGAGCCAGAGAGAGGTTAAGCCTTACAGTGTCCCGGCCTTGCAAACCACAGCATCACTGCAGCGCACAAAGGGCACTTCCTTTCAAGAGCAAATCCAGTAAGTTACTTTTATCAACATGCAACACTGGAAACTACAACCATCCTTCCTTGCAGCTCCCAGTTCCTGGAGTCAGCTGGTGACAAAAGGAGCAGCTTCCTCTCTGGAGGAGAACAAAGTTTCTTCTTCCTTTAGTTATACAATGAAGCCTTGTGAATGCTGAGCCCCACTGATTCTTAACATCATTATTTTAAGCTACTGATTTTTCAGACRCAAAYGATTTCAGCAGAACAAGGTTTGGGSCAGACTAGCAGTCTGTCTCTGGGGCACRTAGGTCTTTCATARATACTATTRYYATCACCAGAGACTTAACAGCTTCTTATTCTGTGCCACCCTCGAGACTGAGCATAAGGGAAACTTTTGAAGGTTTTCCTAACTCACCTCATTTGTTCCTCCCTGAGCAGAGTAYGTGAATGTGCAGGTGTAATCTCCCTGGAAAGAGAAGAAAAACATGAGCAATCTAACTGCAACAGGACAGTCGGTGTGACCAGCTATTTGYTGAGCACCTGCAGCTCCTCTCGGCAACACGAGGAGCGAATGAGATCTGGCGAGTTGCTGGGGCTGCGGGGGGWGCGTGGGGAAGCTGGAGCCTCATGCACGTCTGCAGGCAGGGCTCAGCCGAGCCAGCCGGTGGAGCCAGGGATGTGGCGCCCATCAGCGGTGCCGGCGTGGCCCTCGGCTGGGCCCAGCGGTGCCGGTTGGGCACCTGCGGTACKGGGGCGCCCACGGCTCTCCCAGCACCCGCAGCCCCTTCCTCGTAGCAGCCCTTTCCCTGGGGGTCCCTTTCCTCAAGACCCCCTTTTCCTTGATGACCCCTCGCTGTGGCTCTATGTGGAATCCCTTCTCTTTGGGGATCCTCTAGGGATCCCTCTTCTCTTGTGTCACTTGGGGACCCTGGTCCCCCACCTAGGGACCCCTTTCTCCTTGGGAACCTCCTCCCTTGGAGACCTCCCAGCTCCGTGGGGACCCCCTGGGGCACCAAACCCACCTCCCTGAGGGGCCCTCCCCCGCGGGCCCTCCCTCCTTGGGGTCCTCCGTGTCCCGGGGACCCTCTCCCTTTGGGGAGCCCCCTGCGGCCTAGTGCGGCCCAGGCCGCCCCTCCGGCCGGCCCCTAGCAACCCGCCCTAGCAACCGGCCTGGACCCCCACCCTGGCCCGCCCCCTTTCCCCGGCAGCCAACCACCGCGGCGGGAGGCGGGAGCGACGTGGCACGCAGCCAATCACGGAGAGGCGCGTATTCGCTGCTCCCACTTCCTCCCTCCTCCCCTCTCACCAGGCTGCGGGAGAAGGAATGGACCATCCCGCCTGGCCGCACGTCGAAGTCCGCCGTGCTGGACCCCTCCTGGGCCCGGGCCGCCAGGCACAGGAGGACAACGGGCACGAGCCCGGGCAGGAGCCACCGGCCAGCCACTCCACTGGGCGCCGCCATCTTGGAAAGGAAGCCTGCGCTATGGCGCGCGGGAGGGGCCAATCCGCGCCGCGGCCGCCCAGGAGGGCGCCCTGGCGGCCATCTTGGGTGTGGGCAGAGAGCCCGGGCGGATCCCCCCGCCCCTTCCAGTCAGGATATTGGGACGGGGGGGACACTGGGACCGGGCGGGGGGACATTGGGACGAGGTCGTGGACAAAGGGACCTTGGGGATGGGGGATCGTAGGGACAAGGAACGACGGGGGAATGGGGACAAGGGGCCGTGGGGACAGTGGTGAGGACACTGGCCCAGTGCTCCTGGCAGGTCCCGCTGCTCCCCCAGGCTGTGAGCACCAAATTGATCCTCCAAAGAAGTGACTTCCAGACTCAGTTTGCATCGCGTCTCCCACTTTTCATTTTAATTGAGGCAGGACACATTTGTGGAACTGCTGGACTCGCTGCAGCGGTTCAGAGAGCCAAGTCGGGGAAAGCTCGGGGCCAGAAAACGCAGCCCTCCTCCGGCAGCCCCTCGGGCTCGAGGCGGAAGGGAAAGCGGCCGCAGGGCCGCAGCAGGGGAAGGGGCGGCCAAGCGTGAGGGAAAGGCGCTGCGGAAGCGGGAAGGGGCCGCCAAGGCCGTCTGCACGGAGCAGCACGTGGCAGGAGCTCGGCTTCCGCAGCAGGAAGGGCGACAGCCAGGGCGGCCGCGCGGTGCCCGGCTCCGCTCGCAGGTGTGCGGAGCGCTCAGCCGGGCGAGAGGAGCCTCTTCCCAAAGGAAACCGCCCGAAGGGAGGCCGGGCTGGCGGGCGGCGCTCAGAGCGCAGGAAAGCTGGCCTGGCTGGCCACGCCGCAGGCGTTGCGCGTGCCGCGGGGCAGCCGCATGTAGCCGCGCTCGCCCCACAGCTCCGACCAGCTGCAGGGACACAGGGAGCACAGCTGCGGTGCCACCCGCCACGCGCGTCCCTGTGGTGGCCCTGCTGGCCCTGCGCCCCATGCCGGGCTGGCTCAGGCCTCGCRGGAGGCACCTCGGGGGTCGGGTGCCCCCAGCCCCTACCTGTTCTTCAAGATCCAGTAGCCAACGCTCTGCCCGTCCTGCTGGGCACTGCCGTAGCCCACGGCCAGCATGGCGTGGTTGACCTGCTGGCTGCAGAACGCGCTGCTGAAGATGCCTGCGGAGAGCGGGGCCGGGGTGAGCGCGGCACCCAGCCTGGGTACGTGCAGGGCAGTGCACGGCACCCCCTTCGTTATGGCACCCCCTTCGTTACTGCCACAGGGGCAGCACGTTGCTCCCAAATGGGGCAGCCCCCAGGACCCCGCTTGTCCCATCCCGGCGGAGCACGACGCGGTACCGGACTCGTAGAAGTGGAAGTGGAAGCTGCTGGCGTCCACGGCCACCGAGACGGGCCCCACGGCCGCCAGCGCCTGCTCCAGCGCCGCCTCGCTGCCCGGCGCCACCAGCCACACGGACGAGCAGTTGGCTGCCCGGTCCCGCGGGTCGTAGCGGCAGCTCGAGGCGTCCTGGCAGGAAGGAGCTCTGCACCAGCCGGTGCCAGGGACGTCCCCATCCCCCTGGGCACCCCCTTACCGTGCCCAGGTAGGGGTAGACGTGCTCCGAGTTGAGGCCGCCGTTGTCACGCACGTACTGGAAGGCGCGGGTGACGAAGCCGCCGCCGCAGCCCGCGTTGCCCAGCTTGCGCGAGCAGTCGATGAGGTTCTGCTCGCTCAGCACCACCAGCTTCCCCGTGTGGTTGAAGACGAGGCCCTCGAGGGCCCCCGTGGCGCTGAAGGCCCAGCACGAGCCGCAGTGGCCCTGGGAGGAGGGCGGCGAGTGAGGACGAGCTGCCCTCGTGAGCGGGGAGCCCCGGCTCCTCGGGGATGCCTGGGGTGCCCAGGAGCRTCTTTCCCTTCTGTTCTGTCCCCCTTGGAAGACGTTCCTGCTGCTTTGGGTGCCCGGATCCATCTTCCCGCGCACACCTGGTTCTTCACCGGCGTCACGTAGCCCTTGGCCCTCCAGTCCACCTGGGCCGGTGTCCGCACGGCCGCCGAATCCCGGAACAGCGGCGCCGGCCCCCGCGGCCACGCCGGGGCGAAGCCATTCAGGAGCTGGTTGAACTCCTCATCTGTCTGCAGAGGRAGAGGCCAGGAGGCGCCGTGAGCAGCGCCCGGGCCCCGAGCGTCTCYGAGKAGCGGGATGGGGCTCCRGGAGGTACCAGGTCTCCGTAGTGGTTCATGGCCAGGCGGAAGGCGTGCCGGCCCCGCGCCTGCTCCCRGTTGTGCTCCTCGATGCGCCGCAGGTTCTTCTCCCAGACCTCCCTCCGCACGGCCTCGGCCTCCTGCCGGGAGGCACCGTGGCGGCGAGCTCGGATGCTCCCAGGAAACCGGCTCCCCAGCGTCCCGGTGCCGGGATTCCTACCTGCGGGTACTCCTTGGCGTGGAGGCTCTTCCAGCCCCTCCAGGCCTCCTCGAGGGCCGGGTCCCGTGCGGCGGCGCAGCCCAGGGCCAGCAGCAGCCCCAGGGCCCCGGCCATGGCTCGGCCCTGCCGAGGCCACAGCGGCTTCTCCCAAGCCYGGAGTAAAAGCGAGGGGGAAAACGCAAACAGAAGCGGCACGAGATGACCAGTCTCCCACCTCCCTCCATCTGCACTGGCCTTTGCCGGGACACACTCGACAGGAGCTTTAGGAGGTCTTAGCTGTCCTTTTCATGGCATTTAAGTGTCCTTTTTAGAGCAGCGTTGAGGAGGAGCAGAGCCCCATCCTGCAGCCTGAGCTCAGGCACCCGCGAGCAGGGAGAAGGGCCGGGGCGCCAGCGCCCACGGAGCCGGGTGACAGCAGCAGCGCAGGCGCCTCGGCCTCCCCGAGGATTTTCCAGCCTCGTTTCACACGTGGCTTTTGCAGCCGCCTGGGCTGCAGAGGGACCAAGCACCCGAGAGGCACCTGGGCGCCGTGCGGGTGCAGGGACCGGGCGACTTCCTGAGCTCAGTTTAGAGCCTGAGAGATGCTTTGGCTTTAATCGGTTATTGCAAGCAGCTGCCTCCTCCACAGCCACAATAAAGCCCCAAGAGCCGGGGCAGAAAGGCCTCGCGGCCGCTCTCAGCCTCAATCCCCTCCTCGAGGACGGGTGATTTTGAGCTGGTGGCGCCGGCAGCCGTTACGGGGCCCCCGGCTTCCTGCAGCCGCCGGCGCGAGCAGGAAACGCGCTGGGTGCTGCACCCCGGCCTGCAGAAGGGCCACCTCGAGCCTGGCCCCCATGGCCAGGGTGGCCGGAGGGGCTTCCCGCAGGGCCAGCCAAAAAGCTCCCGCTTGCAGAGGCGACGTCCCAGTTAATGCCTTGCAGAGGCTCAAAACCCAAAGCAGAAAAAGAGCTTTTTTAAAGAGATTTTTTGGGTTTTTTCTATGGCATCAACTAATCCTCTGGCTTCAGCAGCGAGCCCGCAGGATCAAAGGAGGTGACAGATGTGTAAACTCCTCTAGACAGGGACCTTTCAGGAGCGCGTTGCAGGCACGTTAAGGATGCTTGCCCTTTCAGGACAAGAGAAAGCAGCCAAGATTCAGAGCGAGAAGGAACCAACCCTGCGAAAGGAGGCTCTTACCATGCGGCGGGAGGCGGCGGCGGGACGGGGCGGCAGCTCTCGCGCCCGCGGAGGGGAGCGCGTTCGCTCCTCGCCGAGGAAGCGCCGGAGCTCGGCGACTTCCCGCCGGCAGCCCCTTCCGCCGCCGCGGCCTTGCGCTGCGGCCCGGCTTACTCAACAGCGCAACGCAGCCCTCGGAGCGGGTAGCCGGGCACGCGGAGGCGGCGACGGAGACGCTCACAGCCGCCTTCGGAAAGCAGAAGGCTCCAGGTTGCGCTGGAGGAACCATCCAGGAATCCCGGCTCCCACTGCGTCTCCCACTGCTGCCTCCCCCGAGGAGCACCAGGGCTTTGGTGTCTGCACCCGGGGTTACCCCCGTCGCAGCCCGGCCCTCCCTGCGCTCCAGCGCAACGGACACTCGCGCCAGCCGCCGTCCTCTCTTTCCAATAGTTTAATGAGTCGCTACATCTTACACTCATAATTATAAAAGAATAAGAATCCATAAAAATATTTTCTTTTCATAATACGCACTTAAAATACTCCAGGGCAAGTTGACGTGGTTCATTAGGGTGGGTTTGTTTTTTGTTTTGCCCCGGCAGAACCCTTGGCTTGAGGGGGTATGTGCTCCCCTGAGGTGCGATTGCTCAATCCCCCCTCCCCAGAACTGCAGTTCCTGTTGACCAGGCAAATAGAAACCAGAACAGAGCATCTGCTGAGTAGATGGGCAAGGGGAACAGTCACTGACCCGCAGAGAACTGAAGCACAGCCAATTTCAGTGCACGTCTGAAAGCTCAGGATGCCAGGGAAGGAGAACGTGGGATCAGGAGGGGGCACAGAGAATGGCGGGAGGGAGAATTTGCATAAATATCATCCTTTTTGTGTTGCAAAAACCCAAATGCTGCTGCGAGCTCTCGAGAGACGCTCTCCAGCTGTCGCCGGCTGCCCTGCTACCTGTTGGCACAACTCTGCTTGTGAGCGGCCATTAGAGGAAGGTGTCAGAGGACGCCGTTACCGACCCCAGCCCCTTCCTCCATCTGCTCTGCAAAATCAAAATGAAAAATAGAAAGGACTAGTGTTACATGCTCCTGTAGAGCTCTCTTCTTGTCCTGGGGCTCCACATTTGTCACAGCAGGGCCAGGACACAGCAGCAGCAATCAGCTCCCTTGGGACTTAACCTCAGGTAGTTCTCTCTTCCCTCCCACTCCTGGCTTAAGGCAGCTTGTTGATTCAGCTCTTCCATTTCCAACATAGGCACTGAGTTCTTGCAGGTGAGAGCAGGGGAACCGCAGAGGAAGGGCAAAGGCCAGAGGGGGGGAAGAGATTGACACGAACCTCAGCCTCAGGAGACAGACCGCTGTCCATTGATTCCCAGGAGAGAGGGAGTAGCAGCAAAATAAGCGATAACAGCCAGGCTGGAGGAGAGGAAGAGGAGGAGCAGCCGAGCAGGGGCAGACCTCCAGCTTGGGAAGTGAAAGAAGGTGGCACTGTCCAAAGGGGAGGTGCCCTCCACCCTCCCCCCTCGCTGGGGGGGGACACCCGGCCCGGACGGGGCGCTGGGGCCGCTTGTGCTCTGGGTTCGATGGCTGTCGAGGGCGGCGCTGGCGGCAGGGCACGGGGGACGCTCGCGCTGTCAGTGTCCGGGTGCGCTCAGAGGTATTCTTGTAGAAAGTGCAGCAGCGTGATTTCGTAGTGCTCTCCTGACTCGGGGCACCGAATACTGTGTCTCTCGTTGGGGTAGATCTGCGCAGAAGCACACGGGGCAGTTCAGCACGGACRGGCCTGCCGTCCCCCTTGGCTCATACCCGCGCTCCGCAGAGGAAAAGGGGAGCCAGGGAGGGCTGCCCCATCCCGGGGCTGGTGCTGCAAGTCGCTCGGCACCGACACAGCAGCACTCCAGCGGAGCAGGAAAGTTCCAGGCCCGAGGACAGGAGTCCTGTTTGCCTAATGCTTGTAGTCACAGACCACGTTTGGCAGCAATAGAAGGGCCACAGTGCCACCTCCTGGCCACCTCCCCGAGTCAGACTAAGCATTTAGAGTATTTACTACTATTTACTACTGATTAGGGTGCCACAAGACCTGGCACATCCACCTCCACCTTTCCCACTCCCTAGGACAGACAGGAAAAAAACCTTTTCTGCTTCCATTTTAAGGGACCTCCCCACCTCGCTCCAGTGCCCCTTACCTGCAACTGGTAAGGTTTTCCAGCCCGGATTAGCTGTGATACCAGGAAGTTGGTGTGAAAAAAGTGCACATTTTCATCCAAAAAGCCATGGAGGATGAGCAAGCGATTTGGCCTGGAAAAGGGATRAGAGAGAGGCTGAGAATGTGCACACAGAGCTCTGTGGTGGGTCTAAGCAGGGGGCTGCCCGTCACCAAGCCAGTGCTGAACAGTGAACAGGCAGCATTTGGCAGGGCACAAGCCCACAGAAATGATCTCCAACCCCTCCCTGACAAAAGGAAGAGGAGCTAATCAGCCCCTTGAGCTAAAATTAAACGTGGTCGCGAACCATCCACCCCTCGGGGCGCAGCAGGAGGGCGACTGGCAGCCCCGAGCAGCCATGGAGCAGGTTTCCAGCCCATCGCCCAGCCCTGGGGGACTCACTCGTTAGGAAGCTTTTCCACATGCAGCGCCACGGAGCCGGCCTCATAACCTTGCTGGTTGTTTTCTGGGATGTCCATGTACCGCTCGGTATAGCCGGTGTCATATGCCATCCAAACCGTGACAGGGGCACCTGCTATAGCAATCTGTCAAACAAATAGGTGGCAGGAGACAGCTTCAATTATCAATGCTAAAGAGTTCAAGTGTTCCCCCCTTCTCCTGAAGAGCCAGGGAAAATAAATAAATCAATACAAGAGGGTCTGGAAAAGTCCTACAGCTCAAACCAGGACTCTTCTCAAAACAGATCCCCATATAACACCCAGATCCTTCCTAATGCTGTTCCTCCYGTCTTCAGAATGAGGCAAATTCTTATGTGTCAGCACTAAAGGCTACTTCTTTTCAAGGAACTTCCAGCACAATGCAGGAATTGCTAGGTGGAGTTTTACAATAGACCAAAATTAAAAAAGGAAAATCTTCACCCTTTACAATCCGTAAGATTTTTTTCTTTTAAATCCATGATGCCCTAAGCACATTCCTGATAGAAGGAACAAATCTTGCCAAAGAGCCAGCATGATCTTTAGGGATGTTACAGGGAAAGTATTGCCTGCTCCTAAAACTCCAGACACCAACTTCAAGCACCAAGGTACAGGAGCAGGGAGAGGCAGGTCCCTCCCGAGATGACCSCCCAAGCACAGACTTACCTTGAAGACATCGGGTTTACAGATAAGACCCATGAGGGAAAGAAAGCCCCCATAGGACCAGCCATGGATGGCTACTCGAGTCAAGTCAATGAACCCGTATTTCTCTGCTACGTAATGTAAACCTTCCACCTGGTCCTCTATCTCCACCTGACCCTAAAAAGCAACAAGGAAGATCAAGTCAGTGGCTTCTAAACACAAAAACTTAAGAGACAGGAAAAGACAGGAACTGCATAGGCAAGCACAGAGCCAAGCAGCTTCARAAAGAACAAGCGAGCAGAGACTCATCCCAAAGTACGTTACCATCTGATTTTTCAAGGCCCCTTCAAATTTGAGTCCTCGCTGGCACGAGCCCCTTCCATCAATCACCACCACTGCGTAGCCTAGGGATGCTAGCGTGTTTAGCCGCAAGTACTTGATACCTTTGAAGGAGTTATTCACTAGCTGCACCTGCAAGGGAACAAAAGGGAAAGTTTCATGATTGAGCAGCTGCCTTCCGACTATCCCACCACGCAGAACCTGTGCCAAACAGCAGCCACTAAAAGAACCATCAGAGCCACACAAATTGGTCTAAATGGGGGAAGTCAGCTGAGGTTTGAAAYGGTGACCTGAGCAGAGGCCCAGCGATCAATCCTAACCAGAGCACAAGCCTTGATCCATGA